ATATATATATCAGCAAGTATTGGATTGGATTTGATTGTTGTACAGCACAGATTTCTCAATATTTTTAGACATTTTTCTAGAAATGTAATGGGTTATATTTTATTGACTTTAATCTCATTTTATTTATTATTATTATTATTATTGTTGTTGTTGCTTGGCCCTAATCATCTTCCGTAGATTTAACCTTTTACACTCTCTTGAAAAGCACTGTCCCTTTAAGAGTGCAATATGTGTCTTTTATACTATATATTAAAATGTTCTGAAGCCTAATATGACAAACTATTTTTCATTCATTCATTCATTCATTCATTTACACATGCTATTTCATGAAATAGCAAGTGTTGCATCCTAACACTTTCATCTTTCACAGAACAAATAACAACAAAAGAATCCGGCCCAGTATCAGCATGAGTGAATAATGGCAGAATTTGCATTTACCATTCAATTAAAAGAGATGCAAAGATTGAGATCAAAGCATCAATAATGGCATAATTTCACAATCAACAACCAACAATTAGAATAAGCAGTTTCACCGCCTGAGTTTTGATAACACATGTTTCTCTTTTTCTCATTGTACGTCCTCCTCTTTGTTTAAACATCATGCCTTGCCAGTCAAGCAGAGAGAAGAAAGCTTTGCCAGGATATCATCAGCAGCACTAACAATGCTGTTAGCAAGCATACAGTACTCTCGCCGTACCATTCCTTTTGTCAATATGACAAACATACCTAAATTGACAGTTGCGTGAGCTCAAAGTGTTTCAACATCATGTATAATTTAGCATGATGCTGTCAGCGCATGTTTAAAGTGACAGCTGTTGTCTTCATCTATGGCCTACTGCACCTGTCATCTCGAAGTGTGTCAAGTCGAAAACTCAGACTGAACAAAATGACTTCAGGGCATCTGAGGTAAATCCATCTGTGCACAGTGTTGATTTCATCAACCACACTCTGGAAAATAAAAGGTCCTTTATTGGCATTCATGGCACCATGAAGAACATATAAAGGAACATTCATCCAAAAATGAAATATACTGAAAATATACTCAGCCTCAGGCCACCCAAGATGTAGATGAGGTCTCTTCATCAGAACAGGTCTGGAGAAATGTAGCTCCTCTGCAGTGAATGGGTGCCGTCAGAATGAGAGTCCAAACAGCTGATAAAAACCTCGCAATAATCCAAAAGTAATTCACACACATTTGTGTGTTTGTAAGAAATAAATCCATCAAGGCATTTTTTTTTCTTCAAATCACTTAAAATACTAGTCCTCTATCTATAATACTGCTTTCTCCAGTGAAAAAAAGTCATCACATGGATTATTGTGAGGTTTTTTTATCAGCTGTTTGGACTCTCATTCTGAGCGCACCCTTTCACTGCAAAACATCCACTGGTGAGCAAGTGATGAAATGCTAAATTTGTCAATTTTTTTTTCGGATAAAAAAATTTTTTGGAGACGTATCTGATTTGTTTCTCTTTCTCCAGTGAAAAAAAGTCATCACATGGATTATTGTGAGGTTTTTTTATCAGCTGTTTGGACTCTCATTCTGAGCGCTCCCATTCACTGCAAAACATCCACTGGTGAGCAAGTGATGAAATGCTAAATTTGTCAATTTTTTTTTTCTGATAAAAAAATGTTCTTGAGACGTATCTGATTTGTTTCTTTTCGTATGCAGTTTATTTTAGTAATGATGGAAAAGGAGCACGTGGTCTTTAAAAAGAAGAAAGCAGCATCTGTCTTTTTAAGATTCAAAAAATGCCTTTCCGGACCTTTGGCACCAGGTTATTTAAAACAGATGTACACAGAGAGAAAAGCAAACAAAGTAAGAGAGATGGCAAATAAGTAGGCTATAGTATAATAAAAAGGCAAACACTCAACGCTGTGGCATGCTTTTCATTGATAAATAAAGGAATAGAGAAAGTCACATGCAGTCATTTTTCAAGTCTCTTCTGTTCTCTTCTCTTCTTTATTGACTCTACAGATGCTCATGGAGAAATGTAAGCAGACATGGGGAATGTTAAATGGTTGAGACTGGTCAAAGGGTAGTCTTCCAGAAAAAAAAAATAAATAGATAAATAATAATAATATCAGACACCCCCCTATAATATGATGATCCCCATTTATGCTTGGTTAAAAATAGTGTGATATTACAAAGATAACATGCTGTTTCCAAAATTAAGTAGTTTTCTTTTATATTGACATTTTACTAAAATCCAAATAAAATATAACAATATATGATCTGATTTTTTTTTACATTGTATTAAGTTAATACCATTTTTTTACCCATTATTTGATAAACATTCTGAATTGAAATCAAATTTACAGTTTAAAAATGTATAATTTACAGTACTAATTGTTAAGACATCATCTAGAAAATGTTTACTTTGTAAAAATACTGTAAATATATGTATTTATTTATTTTTCTGTCTGTTTTATTTTTCTGTTATTTATTTATTCATATTTATGTTTTTTTGTTGTTTTTGTTTTACGATTTTAGAATATTGCTCAATTTAGAGCTGCTACACTTTACAATGTTTGCTGTTATTTTGAACTTTCTATACATCAAACATTTTTCAACAACAACAACAACAAAATATCAGCTGTTAGTAAACCATTTTCAACATTGATAATAATGATAAATGTTTATTGAGCAGCAAATTATTAAAGGAATGATTTCAATAGGATCTTGTGACACTGAAGACTGGAGTACTGATTCTGAAAATTCAGCTTTGCCATCACATAAATAAATTATATTTTAAAATAATTTTACAGTAGTAAACTGTCATTTTAAATTGTGAAAGAAAGAAAGAAAGAAAGAAAGAAAATCTTAATATTAATGCTTTTACTGTATTTTTGATCAAACAAATGCAGCCTTGGTGAGCATAAGAGACTTCTTTCAAAAGCATCCATAACCTTTGAACTTTCCTAATCTTTATAACTTAATCATTGTGACAACTTCATTAAATTCATTTATTTTCCAAATTACATAAATACCCTGTGAATGACTTCATCCATTCCTCCTTTATTTTCAGATCTCAAGCATGTAAATTGTATAAGAGTGTGTGTTTGCGTGTGTTCTAACCTGCCCTGAATCTGTCTCCAGTGTTTGTCAGACTGTCAGTCTGCCACCCCCATCCCCCACGCGGCACATGGCACTAAACTGTCCTTGTATTGAGCAGCGCTTGACAGAATGTCTCCATTAACAACTTGCCTAATGCACAACGACCCTGATCTTAACCCTGGGCGACAGTAAAGTGCAACTGACAAACACACGCATACATGTTCATGAATAAGTATGCCTATACTGCAGTCACGTATTGAGAATAGACTGGCCCTGAAAAACAAAACAGCTACATTTTCTCATCTAGTTAGTGTAGTTATTAAAGTTATGGAATGTAATAAATCTAGTGGATAATTAAACGGTCCCTTTCTTTTCATGCCACAGGCAAAGAATTGTATAGCCTTTTCACAAGACAACTGTAACCCTTGAACTCACTTAAATGTTTTTCTAACAATACAGATTCAGACTGATTCATATATGGATGATGATACAAGCAGACATTTCTTTGTCTTCGCTGAAAAAAAAGCAGTTAAAATAGCCTTGTGGTCTTGAAACAAAATGTAATTGTCAGAAATTGAAGAGCAGTTATAGCTGAGAAGTTCAGCAACCTTGCTCTCATATCGGTTCCACTGTCTTGCCTCTCTGCCCAAACTGACAGGGGTGGGAATGGAGGCATAAAGACACAGAATGAAAATGTTTTTTGAAAGAATAAGAGAAAAAGAGGTCTTGATGTAGTTAGGATGTTCTGCTGCAAAGTTTTTTGGACATGATATAGCTGAGGGTCATTGGATATTGTTTGCACATGAAAACAGTACGTTTGATGCTCATATTCAACATAATAGATGCCTCTATATTGTCATTCCAAGTAATGTCAATCAAACCGCAGTTGGGTTGTTTTGATTAAGTAATAATAACTTAAACAAATACAGGTAATTTATAAAATTAAAGTTCAGTGAAAGTATGTTTTTTTTTTTACATATTAAAAGTTTGTTTTATAGCAAAAGCAGATAACTCCAACAGTCGTTTTTTGGCAAAAGCAGATAACTCCACATTTCATGTTTTAGAGTTAAAAAAAAACATTCGTTTAATTTTTGTAATCTCCTCAGGTGACGATGTAGATGCCTGACAAACGTTGTTGTTGTTGTGATCATAAACTGTAT